ATTCGTTGCAGATTGTTTTGTCCGGGGTATAACTCGGAATGTAAAAGAGATATCAATTTCAAATTTTGTAGGTAGATAGATCTTATTGAGTAGAAGTTCAGTGCAAATAAACCACTGCCTTGTGGAGTTTGGAGTCAGTTCCCTTTGGTTTTTTTTACAGTTTGAACATTGTCAGGGGCATAACTCTTAAACGACAAGGGGTATTAACAAGAAACGTTGTAGCTAGTAAGATATTATTAGATAGAAGTGCTGTGCAAATGAACCATGACTCTGCATTCCCTAATTTTCGAGCTATTGCCCTTTGAATTTTTACACTTTAACTTTATCCGAGACAGAAATCTAAACCGACAAGGGGTATTAACAAGAAACTCTGTAGGTAGATAGATCGCATTGAGTAGCAGTGCAGAGCAAAAGAACTGTAAGATTGCCTTGCCTAATTTTTGAGTTATTGCCTTTGTTTTTTTTACACTTTGAACTTTGCCGGGACATAACTCTAAAACGACAAGGGGTTTTAACTTTAAACTTTGTAGGTGGACAGATCACACTGAGTAAATGTGAAGCGCGTAAGAACATTAACCCTCCCTAACTAATTGTGGAGTTATTGTCCTTATTCTAATGTTTACACTTAAAACTTTGCAGGTAGATACATCTGATTGAGTAGATGTGCAGTGAAGAAGAACCTTAACCCCTACCCTTCCCTAATTTATGAGTTTATAATTTTATCCTGGAGATAACTTAAGTAATATCAAAGGTATCGTCTTGAAACGTTTTAGGTAGATATATCTCACGGAGTATTAGTGCAACGTAAATAACCCTAACACTCCCTTTGGATTTATTGCCCATTGTTTATTTTTACACTTTGAACTTTGTCTGGGACATAACTTGATAATCATTTTAGGTATCAACTGAAAACTGAAAGTAAATAGATTTTACTGAGTATTTCAATTTTAATTATCTTAGTGACTTATGACAAATAATTCAAAAACATTTTAAAAATCTAAAAACTACTGCATTGTCTCTATGTGCAAAATTATTAACTAAAAAGCATATTTTCTGACAAGCGCATGTTTGGGGTATTCGGCACTTGTGACAATTTCTAGTTCCATTTTAGACTAATCGGCACATCAATCGATGAAATTTTATCATATTTAAGAAATGATTCAATATTTATCATAGTTACTACAGATATCTTAATACATACCTAAAATTCATACAAATCTGGAAAAAAGTGATCCCTCGGAAGCATCAATCACAACAAAATTACATAAGAATTGCAGACTCGGTTTAATTGATTCTGTACATGAGGAATACTGAATAAGTGCAACATCCCTCACGCCCACCGGCTTGAGCGGTACTCAATTCTCAACACTTAATAGTGCCGGTATCAATGCTTTCGCTTTTCGCTTTTTATCATAATCAAAAAAAAATACATGAGAGGAAATGCATGTCAAGGAAGTTAACAATTAATTATCTCCCTTTTTAATGTCTAACAATGCCCGAGTGAAGATAATCTTTAAAATTCATTCTACAAAAAAAAGCCAATATATTTCTGAATTGCTTATTGTTTTTCCTTTTAAGTATGTCTTATTTAAATCAAAGAACTTAATATAATCTATTCATGGGATCTGCGTTCCTTCTTATTAGTCAAATAAAGCTGGTCCTTTCTTAAAAACAAAACTGCTATTTTGTTAAATGACGACCACTTATAGTATTTAGGATCTAAAGCATAACGTATCAAGTTTGTGTGAAGTCAAAATATGTTTTTATTTACAAAAAGACTGTGAAGCAATTATCAATTTCTTAAAATATCAAACATTTCTTTTGGCCTGTATTTACAAGTTACAACACATATATTTTCATTACTTTTCCCTATATATCTAACACGTTTCCAGATCCAAGGCGTCGCGGATCCCGGATTTTTTTTAACCTTTACCTCCTTTTTGACGAATTTTCTTTTGGATCCATTGTATTCTTTTTATACAAGGCTAAAGTTATCGATCTTCAATTTAACAATTAAATATAGCAAGTAAACATGAGGTTTTTAATTTTATTTGACGTAAAACGCAATGAATAAATAATAATTTATAAATTATAGATTATTATTAATAGGAAAAACATAAGCCATTTTAATATATGCACTTTATGTGAAAAGGACAGGAGACGTTTTTCTTAAATATTAGTTAACAACATTTGTAAACAATGAATTTTAATTATGACACAGAATATATTGCACCAACGAAATATACAAGCAGTTTTTTCAATATGTCATAAAGACATAAATGACTAATAATTATGTCAAATTTTGGAAGACATATTATTTTTGCATTCGGCGTCTGTCTGTCCGTCCGTCCGTATGTCCGCTCTCACGGGACAGTAATAATGTGGCTAGAGGGACAATAGGTAACATTCCTTTCCCTTTAATGTCATTCATTTCGTAATGCTTTTATGTGGCTATTTTCTTTTGTGTGGCTAAAAAGAGCAATACAGAGAACAATTGAGTAGCCATATTATTACTGTCCCGTTAGAATGTCTATCCGGTTGTCCGTCCGTCCGCATTAAGCTTGTACGGCCTTCACAGGTCAAACTACTGGTTGAATTTCAACCAATCTTTACAGGTTTGATCAGTACTATTCCGAGTTGTGCACGTCACAGGCACGTTCCGCTTCGCTGCACAAGGCTTTCACAGGTCAAAGCTATTGGTAGGATTTCAACCAAACTTTACAGGAGTATTCAGTACCATCCCTTTTTGTGCACGTCACCGGTACTTTCCGCTTCGTTGCACAAAATGGCCCGCAGACATAAAAATAGAAAAATCTTGTCCAGCCTTCACAGGTCAAACTACTGGTAGATCTCAACTAAATTTTACAGAAGTGATCAGTAACATCCAAGGTTATGCAAATCACCGGCATGATGCGCTTCACAAAATGGTCGCCAGAGCTAAAACAAAAAATCTTATCCGACCTTCACAGGTCAAACTGCTAGTGGGAATTTTGACCTAACTTTACAGGAGTGATCAGTTCTACCCCTATTTGTGCTCATCACCGGCCTGTTCCGGTTCACTACATAATATGGCTGGCAGAGCTAAAAATAGAAAAATCTAGTCCGGCCTTCACAGGTCAAACAACTGGTGGCTTTCAACCAAACTTTACAGGAGTGATAAGAACTGTCCCTAGTTGTGCTTAACACCGACACATTCCGCTTCGCTGAACAAAATGGCAACCAGAGCTAAAAATAGAAAAATTCTGTCCGGCCAAAACGTCTGGTGGGATTTCAACCAAATTTTACAGGAATGATCAGTACAATCCCCAGTTGAAAACATCACCGGCACGTTCCGAGTTGCTGCTTAAAATAGAAAAATAGTGTCTGGCCTTCACAGGTAAAAGTGATTTCAGCCAAACTTTACAGGAGTGATCAGTACCATCAACAGTTCTGCACAAAATAGGCATCTTCCCCTTCGCGGGACAAAATGGCCACCAGAGCTAAAAATAGAAAAATCTTGTCCTGCCTTCACAGGTCAAACAGATTTCAACCAAACTTTACAGGAGTGATCAGTACTATAACTAGTTGTACGCATCACTGGCACGTTTCGCTTCCTTGAACAAAATGTCCACCAGGGGTAAAAATAGAGAAATTTTGTCCGGCCTTCACATGTCAAACTCATAATGGGATTTCATCTAAACTTTACAGGAGTGATCAGTGCCATTCCTTGTTGTGCACAACACCGTCACATTCTGCTTGGCTGCACAAATTGGCCACCAGAGCTAAAATTAGAAAAATCTTGCCCGGTCTTCACAGTTCAAACTACTGGCGGATTTCTGCCAATCTTTACAGAAGTGATCAGTACCATCCCTAGTTGTGCACATCACTGACAGGTTTCGCTTCTTTGAACAAAATGGCCGCCAAAGCTAAAAATAGGAAAATCTTGTCTGGCCTGCACTGGTTAAAGTACTGTTGGAATTTCAATGAAACTTCACATGAGTGACCATATATAATTGTGGGAGACATGTTTTTGTGACAAAAACCTTTCTAATTTGACGCTTTTATAAAGCAGTATCTAAATATATAACATGCCGTCAAGAGACATGTACTTTGGCGGGTATTCCCTTTTTTAGATTACAGCTTCAAATGTCAATAGCGATGCTTCTATAAATCTATTCCCGTATTATGTCTCTGTGAACCTAATGTTTAAATTTCATTGGATCACATCTTTGTTACATTATTAACGAAGGACAATAGGAAAATTGAAGATAGAAATGAGCTACTGTATTGAAGGTATTCTTGCCTGGAGATGTATAATTTTATTATTAAAGATAAAACGAAAGTAAGTTTTTTAAAAAGCAAAGAGCTAAATCACTTTAAATATAATTCTCTGATTTTGGGTTAACAAAGACTGAAATAGGGTAATTTACTTTTATGAAAGACTCTAACATGTTGTAAATTTCAATTTCTTGAAATATTTTTATTTCTTACCTTGAAACTAACATAAATATTGTGTTGTTTCTCTTTATTTTTAATCGCATTTCTTTAGTACCAGGTGCTCGATAAAATAAAAAATAAACAAATCTAGCTTTTTAACCGAATAACAAACATGAAAAAACCTAATTATTATAAAAAAAATATCCGATGTATTATGAACACACGCTAAGTTTATTTCACAGGTATTGTTTTGTTTTGATATTTTATGGTTGTATCAAATACATGTATATTGGTCATGGATAACCGTAAAATGTTCAAGGATATCCTGAAGTCAAAGGCAAAACAACTTTTGATGTTTATCATTTCTATGCATACCAACCATTAAGGAACATCATCCAAATATCCTCACTTATTTGAATCTGAATTATTTGATATTTTTATCAAACGCTACACAAATCTTAAAGATCGGAAAAGCAGAAAAATAATATTAACACTGTCCACGGCTTCCCAAGCCTTCCTTTTACAACGTTGATAAACCGATTTTCAAATTACTGAAAATATTTGTTTTGTTTATTTCTTAATAGATGTGGCTATGACAAACAGGTGAGGCATCAAGAAGACTAAAATGGCATCCGGAGATCCAGAAAATCGGATACATCTATTTCGTTTGCAAATTCTAATAATAGATGGAGGCCTGCTTGTATTGAGATGTATACTTGATCAGACCATAGCTGCCCAAGGCCTAACTCTAAAGGCATGTCTTAACAATGAAAGGTCAAAAATTACACGATTGCATGGCAAAAACAAAATCAGCCAGGATCAATATGACTTATTGTTCCCAGTGGGGGGTCCAGACCCAACTACGGCAGATATGGACATTACGCTTATCAGTTGCCTTCTTGCAAACCTTAAATGTTTCGGATTAAATAAGAAATTTCAATGGAATGCAACACCCGTATCAACCGATATATCAGTTGAGGCAGATATATGTCGTTTGAGAAATTTCCGGAATAAAGTAAGTATGAGATGACAGATGTTGTTGATATTTTAGTATGAAACAGTCAAAAGAAGCAGACAGATGAACACCTCTTATACAACAACAAAAATTTAGATGCATAAACTAACGAAAATTAAAACGGATATCTTACTTCTATGTTAACATATTTGACAGCATGTACGTACAATAACTTATATACCCTAATACTTACAAAGTGTAGTTTTCACAGTCCCCTTTTCACATAATCTTTGCCACGAATTGTATAAATACATTTCGACTGAACATGCCCAAGTCTATTTATACATGCGGGGATTTTTTCTGCATTACTGATAAGTTGAGTATTTTTTCAGATTTGTCATATGTCAACAACTACTGGAATAGAACAAATTGAGTTTGCAACTTTGTGGAATGATATTGAGCAGGTAAGCGTTTAGGGTTAAAGACGTTGTTTTCTCTTTTTTAAAACATTACATTCCCAGATTTTTATTTAGATTTACTTTATTATTTTCAACAGAAAAAATGTTGTAACTGTTTATGGTATTTACTAGCTTTTAGGATGAACTTTGTATTAACTTAAGCTTTTACATAAAATACTCATAGGTTTGTGTAAAAAATGATGTCAAAACTAATGAAGTACATGTATGTCATTATAATTGGTTTGTGTTAAGGTTGTCTTTATGAATAAGGCTTTTCATTTTTCTTCATCCAATTAATTATAACATAAACAATAAGTGCTCTCTTCATATGAATATTTTCAAATATTAAACGATAAAGCATTAATAATACAAAGAACCAAAAATAACTTGAAAATTAAAACTGGTATAAAAACTAAAGCTATATTCACACTTTCCTATCAAATTCGGTTTTTAGATACTTATTCGACGAAACACTCCAGGTGTAAATATACATCAAATAATTGCCGATTTCAAGTCGTGTCCTCTTGATCCAGAGGAAGAAAGAAGGATAAATGAAGAAATAAAGAAATGCAAGGACTATGAAGCAGATGTTGATCGGCTGAAACAGGAAATTGGAGACGTAAAAGAAAATGTTACTGAAATGCAAAAGAGCCTTGATGAGGTAAACGAAAATGTTACCAAAGTCGACAGAGACCTTGATGACGTAACAGGAATTGTTACTGAAATGAAGAGTGATTTTGATGACGTGAAGGAAAATGTTACAGAAGTAAAGAGTGACCTTGATGGCATGAAAAAAAATGTTACTGAAGTAAAGAGTGACCTTGATGACGTTAAGGAAAACGCTGCTGAAGTAAAGAGAGACTTTGATGAGGTAAAAGGAAAAGTTACTGAAGTAAAAAGAGACCTAGATGACGTAAAAGGAAATGTTATGAATGTGCAGAAAGACCTCGATGACGTGACAAAAAATGTTATTGAAGTAAAGAGTGACCTTGATGATGTGAAAGAAATTTTTACTGAAGTAAAGAGTGACCTTGAGGATGTGAAAGAGAGTATTTTTGAAGTAAAGAGTGGCATTGATGACGTTAAAGAAAATGCTACTGAAGTGAAGAGAGACCTTAATGACGTAAAAGTAAATGTTACAGAAGTAAAGAGAGACCTTGATGAAGTGAAAGAAAATGTTACTGAAGTAAAGATTGGCTTTGATGAGGTAAAAGGAAATGTCATAAAAGTGGAGAAAGGTCTTGAAGAGGTCAAAAGACGACAACAGACAGGTGGGTAATTTCATGAATCTATGGCTTAGTACAAAACTACAAAGCTCTTACTATATATCTTATTTTCTTACTATATTGTGTTCGTCTATCTTGCATCTTTGACAGCACACTCCCATTAAACGTATCTGATTGAAAATATATTTTATTCAGAAGAGATGGTTCCATTTATCAAACTTTTTAGTATTTAAGATTTCTTATCAGCACAAACTCATCATTTAATTTTGTTCTGTTTAATTAGCCTAGATCAATAAATCTATACATTGTGTTCAATGTAAATTTGTTTTTGTTAGGTCATCATTAATTCAATTTGATCTGACTAAAGCTAACCCATTATAAAAGATAGAGGAAAACTAGTATTGATTTATCTGTCATGTTGACATTTAGTGAACATTGATTCCGTTGGATCTGATAACCTTTACTTAAACAAGAGCCATCACCGGGCGGGGGGCAACGCTAGACCTTTTTTTGCATTTTTCTTAGTACAAACAAATTAACGGTTTAAACAAAGGAAAATTAAAGATTTTTTTTAGATTTTACTAGGTCTGTTTAGTCACACATTTTGTTTTGTCCAAGTATGAATCAATTCCATAAATAAATGACAAAGTTAAGAAAAAATAACCAAACTTCTATCATTTGACAGTCAATGCCATTTGAAGGTCAAGGTCATATCTTATTTATTCTGCAGGTCTGTTTGACCGCAAGTATTGTTTTGTCCACATTTGAATCAAAACCGTATAGAATTAACAAAATTATGGCAACTTAACCAAAATTCAAAAATTTGACCTTGACAGTCAAGGTCATTTAAAGCTCAAGGTCAGTTCAACCTTTTAGATTGTCTTGTTCAAAAGGTTATTTTGTCCCAAAATGAAAATAATTCATTGATTTACTGCAAACTTACAACCAATTGTAGCGATAATCAGTGAAAATAAAATAACTTAAACTTCAAGGTCAAGGTAACACATGAGTCAAGGTCAATTTAAGATTTGTATACATGAAGATACTGACCTAAAAGGTGTTGTGTCTAATTTAAACACGAAGTTAATCCATTTAATAATTACAATGTTTAAGCGAGTAACAAACCAATAGGGTAATGATTGCCCTGAAATCGATCACCTGAATAAAAATAATTCTCCATGAAAAGGAACAAGTAAACTATAAACAAAAGCAGATATAAAATCAAAATCGTGAACTGATATTACAAAGTTCATAATTTCATCTGAAAAAGTGCATGTGTAAAAACTAAACTTGTTGCTATAGCTAAGGGATCACAAAAGTTTCAAAAGATGTGTATATATTTGGAAAATCAACAAACCCTTGGGGCGAGACTAATTTTGACCCCAGAGCTTTTGTTTAAACAAAACTAAAATAAAAGTTTACGGACGGTCGCCTGGCGAAAAGCGATCACTTTATTACAGATGAGCTTAACAAAACAATAAAATTTCATTAGTTTGATCTTGACAGTCAAGGTCAATTTAATGTCAACAAACTTGGTAGACACTCCCTTGAAGATGTTTCATGCTAAATATCTAAGCTCTAGTTTTAAAAGAAGATTTTTTAAGATGTTACTTTACATATATAGAGAAAATCAATGACCCCCGCCCCCGGGGCGCGGCCAGTTTTAACTCCTGGGCTTTTATTTGAACAAACTTGGTAGACACCAACCAGAAGATGTTTCATGCTGTTCATCTAACCAACAGCTCTTGGGGTTTTTAAAATGAGATTTTTTAAAAGTTTTTTCCTACAATATATCTATATATACATAATAATAAATTTTAAGGGAAATCAATTACCCCCGATTCGTGGCCAATTTTGACCCCAGGTTTTTTATTTCAACAAGCTTGGTAGACATTTACTAGAAAATAGTTTCGTGATTAAAATCTTAGCACTCGCTTTTTGTGTTTTTAAGAAGATTTTTTAAGTTTTTACTAAATACAAATAATGAAAATCAATGACTACGTGTCGGGGCAAATTTTGACCCAAGGGCTATTATTTGAACAAACATGAGAGACACTTAATAGAAGATGTTTCATTCAAAAATATCTTAGCGCTAGCTTTTTAGGTTTGTAAAAAAGAAAAAATTTTCTTTCTGTTGCTATGGCAACCAGAGTTATGCATGGAATTGAATTCTTTGAACAATTTTCAAAGATGACTATGGAAGGCACATTCCTGTAAAGTTTGGATGTAGTTGACCTAGCCTAGTGGTTTATGAGATGATGACGTTTAAACTAAAAGTTTACGGACGGACGCCTAACGAAAAGCGATCACAAAATCTCACCTTGTCACTTTGTGACAGATGAGCTCAACATCAAGAGAATGTTATTAGTTTGATCTTGACAGTCAAGGTCAATTTAATGTCAAGGTCATATCTACATTATTCAATATGACTGTTTGTTTGGTAGCAAGTCTAGTTTTGTCCACGTTTAAATGAAATTCATTTATATATAACAAAATTATGACAGTTTAACCTATATTGAATAGTTTGACCGTGACTGTAAATGTCATTTAAAGCTAGAGGTCAAGATTAATTCAACTCTTTAGAAGGTATTGTCCAAAATGTTGTTTCGCAAAAGGTCATCCAATGATTAATTACCAAGTTAGAGTCAATTATAGCAAAAACCAGTTATAATTCAATGATTGTACCTTCAATGACAAGGTCATAAAATAGCCTAGGTCAATTTGAGTTTGATATATATATATCAAAGTCTCATTCTTAAGAATGTTCTATTCAAGAATAACATAGTTTTAGCCAGTTGCAGCAAAAAAGAATAAAAATTTCAATAATTTGACCTTCAAGACCAATGTCTTTTATGACAGGTCAAGGTCTGTCTGGTTAATTTAAGGTTTATTTTAGATAATAACAATGTTCAAGTTTGATAAAGTTATAGCCACTTACAACAAAAACAAAATCAGCAAAAAAACAAGAACAATTTAGACATTTGACCTCGAAGATCAAGGTCATTATAAAACAACGGTCAAATTTAGTCTAGTTTTCTTAAAGGTCTTGTCCCAAGTGTTTTTATGGTCAAGTATGAAGACAATAAACCAATAATTAAAGGATTTATGATAAACATACAAGTGGGAACTGTAACGGTAACGACAACGCCGACATGACTGTATTAATACCTCTACTTTTTTTACAAAAAAAAATCGAGCAAAAAATGGCATATCAAACCTATGTTTGTCATGAAAGGATTTGACCTTTCTAAGTTAAGAATTTTATATAACTAAACACTGACTGTTTTGTTTGTACATGATAATACCCGTTATCAATTTAATATCAAACGACTAAACAAATGATCATAATATAGACTGATTACATGGGTTTCTATTTTTAAACAGAGATAGATAGCAGAAAAGACTTTCCGAAACAGACAGAGGAAGAAAAATATCAAACTCGCAAGAAGGGTAAGTTAATAGTGTTGTACGTAAAGGTTTGAAATATCCTCCAGAAGCAGACTTTTGAAAATAATGGTAGTCACTGTTTATAAACACATACTTTCTTATTTAGAATAAATGAACCTTTTTACAGACAAATGAGAATTGGCTTTAACAAGACTCAAAATCTATGTTATTATAATGAATAAAATGATAAAATTTGGAACTAAAATACCCGTATATATTGAAATACGATATTTCAAAATTAATAATCTCCATTAAATAGATTTTCATTTAGCTGTGACAGAGTATATTTCTGTTCACAACAATGATTTTGTATTCTGTCTTAGCCATGCATTATATCTTAGCCGATGCTAGAGGGCATGAGCGGTAATTTACAGTTACCACTGCCGTCCATGAACAGGCTTAATCAAACCGAGCCTGCAATATTTTTGATTCCGCCATGTTTTCTTAAATGATTCTGTTCTTCTCCAAATTGCATATTAGTGGTACTTTATTTCCTTCTATTTGATCTTTTTATCCTTGGGTGGTTTTAATCCTTTCTTTATTTCATCTTTTCTGATCTGTTAAAAAACCCAAGATTTTTTCTAGATAAATCTAAAATGCAAAATTATCAAGCTTCATCAATGAGTACTTACGTACCTTGCCACATTAACATATCAACAGTATATTATTACCTTTAATTCAAAAAACATTTTCAAGAGAAAACGTTACTTTTCTTGCTTGTAATTAATGAAGTCTTTCTTTACAAGATGTATCATTAAAGAATATACAATTTTTATCTGTGACGAAGTTTGTAAAGCACTATGGCTTTCCTTAGATAACATTTCGGTCGAGTTTGGTAATACAGTTTTCAAATATATTATAGGCTTTCCAATGTGAACTAATTGTACACCACTGATACTGATAACTGATTTATTTTTATATTGTTACAAGAGGAAGTGTCTCTCCTATTTCACAAAAAGAAGTTATACATGCATTTAATTACACTTCCTGCAAACAAGGTAATATCCATAACGTGAATAATCCGTATTTTGATTAAATTGTTACTATAATATATCCACGTGAACTTAAATTGAATAAAACAAACCCTTCAGACATTACTACATATATTTTAGATAAAACATTTCTATCATTAACAATACTAAAGTAACTAAAATTAATGATAAAAATGATGATCTTAATTTTGATATCGTTAACTACTTACATTTAGATGGAGATGAACCTCATGCATCAACATATATGGTATATATTTTTCCAGTTAACACGATAATGGCGTGCAGTTTATATGTGGATGATTTTAAAGAACGCAATTTATTTATTACTGGCAAACTGCTGCAGCACGGCTATCGCTAACATAAATTACGCAAATATTTTACAAAGTAATACCGTCGCAATTCAGATTTAATTTTAAAACTTGATCGTAATTTAAAAAATCTTTTACCACTAAGTACTGATTTCTAGGGAGATGTTTTTTACAAACTTTGTAGCATTATGGGTCATAGTATTTTCTCTGCTGTATTTACTAAATTATCAAACGTTTGGTTAAAAGAGACTATGACCCAATAATATTAAGGTAATGTGCTCTGTGTTCAATCCTTTTAAATTGAATGCTAAGCATTCTCTTTTGAATGCACCTGACGGACCAAGTGGAAGATTCTTAGACGGACAGCTTTAAGCTTTTTGGACTGAATTGTTTTTATTTTGTCTTCTGTCTTGCTTCGTCCGCCACCTTGTGATTTTCTTGTTGCTCTACCTTCCCTTTAGGCAACGAGGTCTTTTGTAATGGTCATTAGGAGGTGTCTTTAAGTTTTGTACATATTTACATGATCATTTATGTATTTAATTCATTTCGTTTAATGTTACCATGGCAATTGTTAGAATTATTTCATTTTTGCAGGGAATCGTTTTATTTACACTGTCTCGTCATATAGGAATATATGGACTCTACGATTGAGATTTGTTGCGAATAAAACCGGTTAACTCGCAAGTGGTTTTATTACTACTGACTGTTTCAAGTCGATAACCCTCTGTGTTCCTTTACATGTGCATGTCTGTTACACGTTTTGAATATTTGCACGTTTTGTAGTGTCTTATCATATAATACACTGTGATACCTATATACCTATAAAATCTAATAGCAATATAAGGGTATTTTATATAAATTTTGTCAAACATTAACGAAACCACAACTTAAAATGCAAACAGAATATTTCTTCCCAAAACCGAGTCGGTCCAAGTGCAAAAATCGTTTTAGCTCTGCCGAATATATTTTTTAAAGATAATTTTTGTTAATTCTTTAAACGACAAATGATACAACATTTCCTACTGACTCTTTTCGAGTATTGTATAATGGAAAGATTTACGAGTTTGATCGGTTATAATTGCAAATTGTGATTAAAACAGTGTACCTCCAAAAAGCTTGATTTTAATTTGCAAATTTGCAAATTCATTGCTATATTTATCTAATAGATAAATATGTAATCTTCTTTGGATTTTTGGACATTTTATGCTTATTTTCACACTTTAATGCGTTATTCTACAATAGATCCATCAGAGATCACCAATGGTATGCAATAATTCAAGTTTGATAATTGCATGCTTATTTATTATGCAATATTGAATATATAAGAGATCACCAAGGCTGTGCCATCAATGAAAATAATATTTGCACGGTAATGTGGCTAGAGGAAAGGCTATTTCATTGAGAGCTGTACCAAAATACAGGGAAATACACCAAACACCTAAACTTTGCATATCTGAAGATGTTAGCGTTACAAAACCTTAAATCTATGGAATATGTTTCTAAAGAGAGTTTCAAACTGGAAACCAGGCAACGGATATCTACGTAATAGTCCCAAAAATAACATTTGGAATGCTAGACTTTTAATCACCGGCCAAGTATTGATGCATGTGCGTGCTATTTGGAGGCAAACATTTACCATGTACCACCTATAAATAAAAAGCAAGACTGATAAGATATGTTATTCACCAATTAGGGAATATAAAACGTATTCTACTTACTTATAGAATCATGTTACAGACGTACTCGATTGTGGAGACACTCAATATAAGATGCATCTACTGTAACATTATGGAATGGGATCTGTATGAGGCTGACCCAGTTAAGGTTTGTTGAGGAAGTTGCTTTTGATAAAAGTACAAATCTACGAGGAAGTCTAACAGCCTTAAAATATGATTTTTTGAAAGGTTGTTTTGTTCTGCTAGAGATATCCTTATTGATTTCATTCAAAGAAAAATACATGTGTATGGGGTTTAACTAAGCTAAAACCTATAGAATGTGAACAGTGCATCATTATATCACCCAAATATTTTGGGAGACATATTGACTTTTGCCTTCGTCGCCTGTCTGTCCATCAGTCCGCATTCAGCTTGTCCGGCTTTCTAAGGTGGGGATTTCAACCAAACTCCAAAGGATTGACCAGTAGCAACCCTAGTTGTGCATATCGCCGGCATGTTCGGCTTCGCTGCACTAAATTGCCGCCAGAGCTATAAATATAAAAAATTCTGGTGTCTGGTTTTCACAGGTCAAACTGCTGGTGGGATTTAAATGAAAGTTCACATGAGTAATCTGTTCCATCCATAGTTTTGCATATCGCCAGAAGGTTTTGTTTTGCTGCACAAAATGGCCACCAGTGCTATCAATTGAAAATACTGTCACGGGTCAAACTGCTGACGGGATTTCTACATTACTTCACAGGAGTGATCAGTACCATACGTAGTTGTTCATATCCAGGGCACGTTTTGCTTCACCGCAAAAACAACCGCCAGAAAACTTAATATCTAATACATGTATATGGATTATTTTCAAAATTGAACAAAACAACCTTTGGAGAAAACATTCTTAAATCTTAAACTGAACATGACATTTGGCTTTAGAGCTTTAAGCTTTACACTTGAGGACCAAATAAAAAATGTCTTGCTTGTTGCACAATTTTTTATTTACATTTTCCTCAAATGGAAAGACAATGTTTTATCTCCGAATATAATTGACTGTGCAACTGAGATTTTATATCGTTGAACCAGGCTAAAATTAAATTATGCGTGAACATGTTTCATCTATTAATAGCAAAGGTATATCATCGTTATTAGTTACATTATAAAGTAAAAAAAACTATTTCGGGAATTAAAGCTGGCTACTGTGAGAAGGTGGCTGTTGGTGAGAGGTGACCTTATGGGAGGTTTCACTGTCCGTTAATGATACTTTTGATTACATTCTTCTACGAACCCGCTTTAAGGCTTTTGGTATATTTAAATATAGGGATTAAAAAGCTAAAAGACAGTTTTAAAAAAAAACGATAATATTTGGACTGCCAAGTTTTTAAATTTTGTCGGAATTGATCCAGAGGCTCATGGATGAGAGATAAATCACGTCGGTTAATAGGAAAATATGTTGATATTACCATTTCAGCAAATTTAAAGTGTGCCTGAACATGATTGGACCTCTGCTACTCGAGCATCCTCGTCGAAATATAATGAATCGAAAATTAAATAAATGCTTGTACAAATTTTATGCTTTTTCTACAGAAAAAATATTTATAGTTACCACACATTATTTACTAAAAGCAGACATTTTAATGCATATTTAACTACTTAAGTAAAATTTTAAACATTCAAGTCACTTTTGATTTTAGAATGAACAGTCAGTACGGAGGTCTGCCTTGAAATCGGCGCGCACTTTCGTTAATTTCATTTTCGACCGGAAGTTGATGTCGGCGCTGTTAATGATGAAACGTAGTAACCATCTATAGCTCTAAGATGTCCGTGGAAGACTGGGTCACTGAGATTAGGTCGAAAAAATGGCACTGCGAGGAAAATTGTTTCTGAATTATAGTTAAACGCCATATCCTATTCTTAATGTTTAATAATATACTAAAGCCTGTGCAAAGGGAAATGACATCATATCCAATAGTTCATGAGTTTATAATAATATAGTATTTAGCAACATAGTGTCCTATATGAGCTTCATGATTTATAGACCACGGGGA